TTGCACAGAAAGCAAAGGATTTTTGCATGTTGACTTTGTGTTCTGCAATTTTGGTCAAATTTATTTATTAACTCTCATGGTTGTGCTCATATAATATTTAGGGATTTCTACAAATGAAATAATACTATCTATGAGTAGACCTAGCTTTACTTATTCTTTTCAGTTTGGGTGCATTTATCCCATTTTCTGTCTAGCTGCTCTTATTGTAACTTCAAATACTGTGTTGAGCTGAAGGGGTGACAGTTGACATCCTTTTGCGGTTCTTGATCTTGGAAGTTAAGCTTTCAGTCTTTCAACACAGAATGTGATATCTGCTGTGGATTTTTGTGCTGATGAAGTTTCCTTTTATTCCTAAATTGTTGACTTTTTAAAATAACAAACAAAATTTGAATCATGTAGCCTGCTCTGTCTGCATTAGTGAACATTTTTGCTCCATTCCATCTATATGAATTTTCATATTGGTTGATTTATGTGCATTAAAGAATACTCGCAATCTAGAAATTAAATTTTACCCACGTATGTTTATTTTGTAACTTTTATTGGTGTGTTTGCCACATCTAATGATCACATTCTTGGGGTGCGCTGGTGTACGTACACAACAGATTTGACTTCTTTTCACTTCCCCATCCCACATCTCTCTTCTCTTTCCCTCCATCTTTTGGAACTATTCATTGTCTATAGTGACTGATATGTTGCTCTATTATTTTGTAGAGGCTTTTTGTACAAATAGTTATGTTAGCTTTGTATCACTGGGACAAAATACCTGAGATAAACAACTACAAGGAGAAAAGATTTAACTGCCTCATGGAGCCAAGTCCATGGTTACTTGGCTCCATTTCTTCCTGGGCCTGTGGTGAAGCGAGAGATCATGGCACAGGAGGTGTGGTGTAGCAAAAGCTGCTTACCTCATGGTGGCGGCACACACACACACACACACACACACACACACACACTTGGGAGTAGAGGAGAATGGAGCGGAAGAGAGAGAGAGAGACAGAGAGACAGAGACAGAGACAGAGAGAGACAGAGACAGAGAGACAGAGACAGAGACAGACTGAGGTCTCAGTGTCCCCTGCAAAGGCATAACCCTGATGATCTAACTTTCTTCTAGTGCGTTAACTCCTACAAGTTCCTTCGCCTTCCCATAGCACCACAGACTGCAGACCAAGCCGTTGATACATGCGTCTTTAGGGGACACGGAAATCCTAGCTAGAGCAAGTATTAATAAGGAGGGTTGATTACTACTGTTGCTTTGTCCTGTAGTGTGTTTGGTTTTGGTACCAGAGGAATACTGGTCCTGTACTGCACTATGAATTAAGAAGTATAATATCCTCTTCAATTTTAGGGATAGGAAGAGTTTGAAAAGTATTGGTGCTAGTTCATAATCCCAGCCCTGGGGAGGCTGAGGCAGGAGAATCACTACAAGTCTGAGCTTCATAGTGAAACGCTGTATCAAATAAATAAATAAATAAATAAATAGCACTCACCAGTGAAGGTATCTGTGCCTGACATTTATTTTTCTTTCTTTTCTTTTCTTTTTACACAGAAATTTAGAAATCTAATCATATACAGCATTGTAGCAGGACAGTCCTGTGACATTTTTTTTCTTTTCTTGTCTTTTTTTTTTCATTTATTACCCATTTAAAAAAAAACCTTCTACATGTGAGACAGTATGGTAATAATTGGTATATCATGACAAGAAGTATGTATTTAGAAGACCAGAATGACAGGCATTCCAAGCATGACCCTTCTATTACACATTGCTATCTTCAGTGCAGTTGCTTGGTTCACAGGTATCAGCATGTAAAGTTAGTCAGGGTGAGAATCCTACCAATTAACTGCTAGTTTCAAAAACCTACTTGACATTTTCTTTATTGGGAGGTTTTTCATTACTTGTAGTAGACTGTGTGTTTCTAGGACTTTTCATTTCAACTAGACCCTTACTTTGTTGTCATACAAACATTCACGACATTCATTCAAATTTTACTTTTTGTAGTACCAGTAGGAATGTCCCTTTTTATTCTTTTTTTCTTTTGGTGGAACCAGGAATTGAACTCAGGCCCTTGCACTTGCCAGGCAAGCACTTATTCTACTGAGCTATCTCCCTGGCCCCTCTCCTTTTTATTCTTTATTTTAATAATTTGAATCTTTCTGTATTCTTAGTCCAGCTAAAGATTTGTGACTTTGTCAATGTTTTCAAATAGGCAACTTTTGGTTTCAATGATATTTCCTGTTTTGCTTCTATTCTCTATTTTAGTCATATCCCCTTCAATCTTTATTTTTCCTTCTTTTTGCTATATTTGGGTTTATTTTGGCCTTCTTCTAGTTACTTGAGGAATAAAGATAGGTTGCTGATTCGATATCTTTTTCTTTTTAGTGTTTACTATGATAATTTCCTTTTTTACCTCTGCTTTCATGCTATCCGTGCATCTTAATATATTGTCGTTTATTTTTATTTGCTTTAGGATATTTCTCTAATTTCCCTTTGCTTTCCTGTTGATGTTAGTTGCTTAAATGTATGTTGTCAATTTCCATTAATATTAGAACTTGCCAGTTTTCCTCTAATTATTGATTTTAATTTTGATTCCATTGTGATTAGATAAGATACTTTGTATGACTTCAACCTTAACAAAATTTATCAAAGTTGATTTTGTTGTCTAACATATAGTCTATACTAATGAATATTCTTGTGAACTTGAAAGAAACATCTATCTTGTTTCTGGGTAAAAAATTTTATATATGTCAGTAAGATCCTATTGGTTCAAAATATTGTTTGAATTGTTAATTTATCGATCTTATGTTTGATCATTCTATGTACTTTTGAAAGATTTAAATTATTATTACTGAAATATCTAAAATGAATCTTACAGACACCGTATAATTGAATTTTTAACTCATTATGTAAATGCAGAATGTTGGTTCTGACCTTAAAACTACTGGATAAAATCTTTATTGACAAGGTTTTTTGGTATAATACTCACAGTTGAACCCAGTGTCTTGGTTATGCTGGGTTAGGGAACAAGATTTTTTTTTTTTCCAGAACCGGGGATTGAACTCAGGCCCTTGTGCTTGCCAGGGAAGCACTTATTCCACTGAGCCATCTCCCCAGCCCCAGGAACAAGATTTTTTGAGGTGGTTTTATAAATATCAAATTTTGGGCTGGGGAGATGGCTCAGTAGAATAAGCGTTTCCCTGGCAAGCGCAATGCAAGGGCCTGAGTTCAATCTCTGGTTCTGGAAAAAAAAAAAAGAAAGAAAAAAGAAAAAAAACAAAACAGAAAAAGATAAATATCAAATTTTGAGAAGCATGCCTCTGGAACATCCAGCTGAAAGCCCTGACAAGCACAAGGTACGACTTAAAGTTCTATCTTCCAAAATTCAAAAATTAAAATTAAAATTCAAAATACAGCTAAGTGCTTATAGCATATTCTTTTTATTTACTGTCTAAAGTATG